ACCCAGTGCACATACTTGTGAGTGTACTTCCACAAGCCTGCAATGTGTTTCCAGTGTGAAGCTGCAGAGGCTAAGAACTGGGGCCAGGAGCCAGTGGTTTCTCTGCTTCTTATCCGCGATGCCACATTCAGGAGTCATTTACCTAATTCTGTTCCTCAGCTTCTCGTCGTATCAAATGCAGGTTAAGTTAGCGCGATATCGCAGTAAGCTTCTTGTGAGGATTACATGAGGTGATGCAAGGAAAGCATTTACAACAGGGACAGATCTAGGTGATTAAGAAATGTTAACTGTTGTAATAGAACGCAAAATGCAAAAACAGCGAGATGATTTTCAGGGCTCCATAAACGTAAAGTATTCTTGGGGCCGGAAGATGAAGGGAATTTAGAGTTATGGGCCCATAAGGAGCATAAAGCATCACTTTTTTTTAGTGTTGACATTAGCATATGCTTCTCTAATCCAAGGCGAAGGTTGCTGATCCTTTAGGGATGGTGATGCTACCGTTGAGTTCTTAGACTCTGATAGCTGTACTAAAAAGTGACTCAAATCTATCCCCACGGAAAAGGGGAAAAAGACCTATATAAGGGAGGTACTGCTATCTTCTTCTTCCTTTTTTTAGACTAGGATGACACTCCAGCAGGTTAAGTGACTCCCCAAGAAAGGGAAGGTCAAAGAACTCAGCAGTCTGAAGCCCAGGCTATGTCCCTAAGTTCACCTTAAAATAAAATAAAAGAAAACTACCTGGCTGTTACTTAAGAGGTTTAAATGTTGCTATTTAGGCATGATTTCTACCATCTTGATCTCTGAGAAAATTAAATTCCGATTTTCTAGGTATGGAGAAACAAAGGTCATTGTTTCACCTCTGGAAGCCCATCCACCAAAGGACTGCACAAGCTGAGATCTCATCAGGGGAAATCCTTACACACAAGGATAACACAGCACACAGGGTTTCTTCAGCACAGTGAAGCAGGCAGCTCGGGGTGGGGAGTGTTCCTTAGAGAGCTCCAGCCCAATCAGTGGCGGGCATCTGTACGCTTGTCCATCATCTCTTGCTTTTTCAGGCAATACCTCCTAGGTTTACCTCTAAAGAACTCTGTCCCCTGCTTCCCCTTTGCTCTCAGTATTTGAAGGTTGGGTAGGACTGGCCACACTGCTCTTAGCATCACAGGCAGGTCATAGATTCAAGGGTGACATTCTTCTGGCTACAGAAGTTTATGAATGGGCATAAAGCCCAGGCTGGACTTTGGAAGATCAGGCTGGGGACTTATATTGTACCTACTGTCGGACAGATTTTTCTAGAAGATAGTTTTTTCTATTAGAGTAATAATCCCGAAAAGGCATTTCTTTGCACCTTCTGGAGTTCATTTTCTCCACTCAAAACATATTATCTGCTTGCAAATGAAGCCAAGAGAGAAAAAGCAGGAAGATACAAATGCCTTAAGTCACTGTTTGAGCTCCTAGATACATCCACGCTTGAAGCCATACTTTTGAGTTGTTTCAGTTATGTGAAGAAATACATTTTCTTTTTCCTTAAGCAAGTTTAAATTACTTAAAAATCCTAATCAATAAGTACTCTTTGGATACACAAAGTTCACCATTCTTTTTATGGAGGTACATTCTGTATCAGAAGCTAGAGATATAGCAATAGGCAGGAGGAAGTACTTGCCCTGAAGAAATCCATTTTCTAGTGGGAATAGCAGTCATACGATGAGACAAGGATAGACAGTGCTGTGGGGGCTCAAATAGGGTGATGCTTGCCAATACAGAGGCGGGAACAAATCCTTCAACCATGAGGACATCCAACACGGGGACACAAAGAAGAAATTAGAGGGTCAAGAATTTTGCAGGATGCTTCCATGTGGCATCTGGTCAAGAGGAAAAGAGGGACACCCAGGCAGAACCATATGCAGTCACAGAAGTATGAAAAAGCAGGCAATTGAAAGAAGCTGAGTACATCTGAGATTCAGTATGCGAATGAAATGATCACTGGTCATGTCTTCTGGGTGCCTCAGGTAATTAAGAAAAACCCCAAGACTCCAGCTGGCAAACAGAAGGGACCCACATGCTTTGCAAAAGGTAGCTGCAACCTCAATTCAAGATTACTGATCACCAACATAGATGAGACTAGCTGCATAATTGTGGAGCTGATGAAAAACAAGTCCACTCCTTCAAAAATGAAGAACTAAAAGATGATACTGATACTCAAGTGTGAAAACTAACATAGGGCCTTTAGGACATGGGTTGTATGCAACTGTGCAGTTCTTTCCCCAGCCTGGAAGCTGGGGGAAGACATCAGGACCGCACAGGGACCTATCTCTGTGGCCTGGGCCTCATTTGTCCTGACACTTTCATCACTAAACAAGCCAGCTTTCCAGATGCATGATGTAAATGAGGAGAATCTGGTAAGGTGGCACTGTGCCATGGGGCTTTGATCTTCCTCTTCCCACTGTAGTCAGAGAGGCACAGGTACTTCCTTCCGCCTTGACGAACCCTTGAACCAGCCTCTAAAGCTGACCCAAGAGCATCAGGACACTGGTGTCTACCGTCACATGGTGAGGATCCTAAGCATTTGGGGAGCAGATTGAAGGTCAAGGATAGAGGCCGGCTGGGGTGAAGTCTGCTCCAGGCACACAGGAAAGAGGAATTCTCAGATGTATCTGATGACAAAATCATCAAAATTTCAACATTCATAGTCTTTCTTTGTTCTCTTCCACTAAAGAGAATTCTATGTTGTCCTGTTTGACTTCTACCCTCCTGGGACATTTCTGTCTTTGCCAGACAATGCTTGACTTTTGTGATAGAGAACAAAGGCACTGGATGGAAGGAGATAAAACAAGAAGCCAGTATGAGATGAAGGGCTTTCCATGGATGGGAACTAAAGCAAATATAAAAAGCCAAAGAGACGGGGTGCTATAGTTTATATCTAAAATATCCCCCAAAGGTCTCATGTATTCAGGGGTGGGGCTTTTGTAAGGTGATTGGATCATGAAGTTGCTATACTCATCAATGGATTCATTCATTCACTGATGGGTTCATAGATGACTGTGAGGTTAGGATTGGGCCTCTGGGGGAGATCTCTCTTGCTCCTTTCTCTCTTCTGGCTGTCATGTGGGGGGCAGCTCTGCTCATGAAGGCCCTACCACCATGATATCCTGCCTGGGAGCCAATCTGGCAGAATATCAGACTGGACTGAACCCTCTGTAATCATTAATCAAAACAAATCCATCTTCCCTTAAGTTGTGTGTGTCAGGTACTTGGACCCAATGATGAAAAGGTAACTAATTCAGGGGAAAAGAAAGGAAAGAAAAGGGCCAAGAAACCCTGCCTGAATGAATTCATAGGTGACATTTGGAAATAAGGTTCTGACAGAGACCAGAGGAAATCATGGAATGCAAAAAATACTGGGAGCCAGAGGAATAGAGAAGGAGACTATCTGGAAATATGGCTGAGTGTTATGACTTGGATTTCATCTTGGTGAAATGATACTAAAGACCTAGCAAGTAAAGACTGGAAATATCTATAATTATTTTTATCTCATGTTGTGCGGGGCCATGTGGGATCTGAGCTATACTTGGGTTACACTGATGTTCTATAAGATGCTACCAGGCATTACATACACACAGAGAGACCCACCAATCGCATGCCAAGTGATTCCAAGGCAAATCAACCTGCAAAATGCTGTATCCTAAATCTTGCCGTTAGAAAAAAAATCACATTAGCATATTAAAAGCTCTGAGAAGTTCCACAGCACATAAGTCTGTTCAAAGCTGTTTAATTCAACACTTTCTAAAGTTACTTTGCCATATGTCATAGGGTATAATTTATTATTTTAATAAATTTTAAAATAATATAATTTTAAAATTGCTTTGCTATTTCTTCCTGCCTGGACAGTCCTGGGAAGGCTTCACAGATAAAATATGATGCTGTGATTGGGATACAAAGGAGCAGAAGGTTGGAAGGACATGTTGAGCAGCTTAAAGGTTGGTGAAGAATAATTCTTGGGGTTAAGTGCAGAAAGAAGGGCTCTGTGGGTACCCTAATTTCTTTCTCATTAGGGTACCATGTTCCTCCCGGTGACCTTTACAATTAGTGTGTGGGGGGTGAGCAGGGTGGCCTTTTGGTGGCAGGTGGAAGCTCACCTGTTCTGAGCCATGCTCATAGCCATCCAGTCTCCAGGGTACACGTTCTTCCCAATGAGGTCCTTGAACATGATGAAGGTCTCCATCAAGAAGTCCTGGAACAGAAACACAAAATCCTACTGTCAGCCAGTTCTGGAGGAGCTGACAGCAAGTACTCAGATCCTGTTGACTCTATGAATTTGTTTGTATTAATTTTGAGAGGGATAGAAAGAGAAGGGACCCAGCTTTTCATTAAGCAATTCAGTGAAACTCATCGCAGTGGACTGTAAATGGAAGTTTGAAAGTTAGCCACCGAGAGACTGCTTCACAAATAAGTGGAACATGAATATGGAATGAGGAGACATTCTGAAAATAAAGCACTATTATTTCTGTCTTTGAGAGTAAGTAAGCAAATGTATTCATTGATGTGGCAATTTTATCATCATTTGCCCAAATATGTATTTAAGAAGGAAATAATCTACACTATATGAAAGCATCTCAGGTCATTGAGCAAGCAAACTATTATTTAAATGAACATCTAATTAGCAGTGCTGTAAACAGATCTAATTCTTTGGTCACACTCCTACACACAAGCAGTTTAAGGGAAGCACTGTGACGAGGACTCTGCTCCTTTCTTTAAAGAGGTTCAGAGTGGTCTTGGACACTCTATCAGATTTTGCACAGGGCCAAACTTGGTCTCCATCTTTGCAGAAAGCAAACTCAAGACAAATTGGACAGCAAAGACCGGAATCACCAGCCCTCTTAAGCTGGTGGTAATAAAGTGGTACCACCTGGATGCTTTAGGTACAGCCTAAAATCCAGACGGGGTCTCCTCAGAATTCTTTTCTTAAGCACTGGATTTCAAGTAATTTTAACTGCAGAATTCTTTGTTCAACTTAAATCTCACCTGACACCCAATATATGAAATAGATAAAAAGTAGATCAGCTCTGACTGATGTGTGTGTGTGTGTGTGTGTGTGTGTGTGTGTGTGTGTGTGTTAGAAGACAGTGAGACTAAGAAGGACATAATTTGAAAATCACTCCTTTATGCCCAAAACAAAAATTCTGGAAATGACTTTGGTTCCTTTTCAGCAATCTTTGCTTCTAGGAAAAATTATCTCAGGGGTTTAAGTCCCAGCTTCCACATCAGCAGACTGGAGGTCACATCTATCTTGAGGAGTTACCAGGCAGATTAAGTGCATGTGATCTGTTTGACACTGAATGTGGAGTCTGGAACTTTGCAAACACTCATTAATGTTGGTGGAGGACGGAAGTGGGTACTACTCTCTATCCTTCCTATCACTTGGGGGAATTGGGTTCCCTGACAGGCACATCCCCTTGCTATATGGATGAAGAAGGCTCTAGTCATAGACAGTCTTTGTGGTTTCTTGCTGAGAAGGTACAGCATGGTGTAGGGGTAAGGACCAAGGTTCAGATCCAGCCCCTGCACCACATTAGCTGTGGTCCCTTGAGCAAGCAGATTTTAGACTTTTAAAGCGTGAGTCCTTATTTATAGGTCATACTGTTGTGAGACTGATAAGAAAACATGCATGTTTAATAAACAAGAATCCTTTTTCTGCCTCTCTTACCAAAAAACTTTTCCTTTTATAACAAACAAAACGTTAGGGTTTTTTTTTTTTTTTTTTTTTTTTTTTTTTTTTTTTTTTTTTACATGTTGCAGGATACAGAAATGTGAGTGAAGAAACACAGGTTATTTGGCTTCCTTCCACTTTTTAATTTTTATTTTTCTACATACAGCCAAAAGGCCCCAAGCCTGCTCTAATGGGGAGATTGTCTTGCTGGCAAGTGGATGAAAAGGCGCTGTGATGGGCCAATCACTCTCTGAGGTTGTTGACTGTTAAAGTCCTGGTGGATCCAAAGAGAACTAAGAGTGAACTCCCTTTATAACAGGCCTTCTGCATCTGGCAGCATGAAGGTGACAGTGACAAAGGTGAAAACAAAGGTGCTCTGCCATATCTCCAGGAGAGTGGCAGCATGGGCTGGCTGTACATTAATTGCTGATTGTCAGGATACCTTTTTCTTAAAAAAAAAAAAAATCTTATTTATTTATTTGTTTGTTTATTTATTTGGTACAGGGTCTTGCTACGCAGCTTGGACTCAGTGATCTTCCTGTCTCAGCCTCGCCAGTGCTGGGATCACCAGCATGTGCCACCACATCCACTTTTGGTGGTCAGCATGGTGCACCCAGTTTTGGTGGTCAGCATGCCACACCCAAGGCTCTGGGACTAGCACATGGTAGCTGGGATCAAACCCGGGTTCTTGTGCTTGCAAGCACTTAGACCACTGAGCTAACCCCCCAGCCCACATATGTTGATAAAGTCATCTGCTGCAGAGGTCTAAGCCAAAGGCCACATGCCACAGGCTGACAATGCTGCCAATAGACCCTGAGAGGTGAGGAGAGGCCTCAGCTGCTGATTTCCTCCCTGCATTTGTTATCAGAAGGTAATACAATTAAGGCTTTCTTTTCCTAAGCCCTTCGTATATTCTTATATAACTCCTTCACAATATTTGACAGAACTAATATTATGCCCACTTTACAGACACGAAACTGAGGCTCAGTGGAGGCGAGCTAACCTATAGTTGCACAGTTAATGATGGACAAATCCAGGATTCAAATCTAAGGCCCTGTAGAAACATGATCTGCTGGAAGAGAAAGTAGGTAGAAATCTTGAACACAGATGTAGGCAAATATTTCAAGAACAAAATCCAGACTTTAAGGGAAAGAGTCAACAAATGGGACCTATTCTTATTAAGACGCTTTTGCATAGCAAAAAAGAAAATCAGCAACAAAGTGGAAAGACAACCCACAGAGTGGAAAAATTTTAGCATGCCCCTCAGACAAAAAGACTTCTATATAGAATATAAAAAGATTTGAAAAATATCAGACCCTCCCCAATTTCAAAGAACCAATCAAAAATGGGCATCTAGAGATCCAGTCCTAGCCCAAGCCCAGTGAGTGTGGGGGAGAGCTTCAGGCTACCCTGCGCCTGCTACCCTGCTGGTCCAAGCCCAGGCGCAGAGTGGGTAAGACCCTCTTCCACCCCACTGGGACCCCCCCACCATTCTGCAGCACCCCCTCCACCCAGCCTGCTGAATGAAAATTTCTGTGGCATTCTAGGGACCCCCAGATCCAGTCCTAGCCCAGGCCCGGTGAGTGTGTGGGACAGCTTCCTCTCCTCCCTACTCTACCTTGTTCCCTCCAGACTCAGCTCAGGCCTAGCATACAGGCCTGAGGTGAAACCCTGCAGCTGCAATCC